CAGGTGTGATCTGTTTTATGGATGAGTTTTAATATATATCTATATAATAATTAATAAAAAAGTAAAAATTACAAGTCGCAATTATTCTTATTAGTTTCAAGTTTTTTTTTTAAAAAAAAAAATGTAATAATAAGAATTAAGTATCAAACAGAATTTTGAATAGTGAAATGATTGTCTAATATAAGGACAATATTTATCGAGTTCAGATAAAAAAAAAAAAAAATCTTGAAGAATATGACTACGATAGAACAATATAAATACAATCAACAACGAAATTTCCATTACAAAATATAATGCAATAACATTATTCTTTAACCTAACATTATTTCTTTATATTTTGTATTGTGCCTGTTTTATCTTGTTGTCATTAGACAATTTCGATAACTTTTCTTCTTGAACATCATACATTTTACATGTGACCGTTTAGTTATATGTTAAATAATACGTGTCTTTTTAAAATAAAGATAATAATACAATTCATTTGATATATAATTCACGCGTTATGTCTTTAGCTGTATCATTAACAAGTTAGATTCTTGGTTAGATTCTTTTCAGATTCCTTTAGTTCTTTTTGATCCTCGTTTCAAAATTTTTATATGGAATAATATTTCATAACTTTTGCACAACACAACAAGTAATAATAATAATGGAAAAAAAGGTCAAATTAAATTCCGACGAAATTTATTATATACTCGAATATTTCGAGGATGATTATTCCACTTTATATAATTTTCTTACCGTAAATAAATTATTTTGTTCATTAGCCGTTTATTTCCTTTGGTCAAATCCCATCTCAAAAATAAACAAAGAAAGTATAAAAATCAAAATTATTTATATTTATCTTTCATATCTTAATGATTTTGAAAAAAATTTAATTTTCTCTTCTAATAATTTTAATTCTACTTTCACAAAAACACATAAATGTGATTTTGATTCAAAAATTTTATCCAAAATACCGAAAAAAACAATGTTTAATTATGCAAGTTATTTAGAATTTTATTCTAATAATCAAATTGATTCTTGGGTTTATTTTTGGTATTCGGGAACTCATGATAAATATCTAAATATCTCTCTTCAAAAATTTAAAATACAATCGATACAATCGGCTATTAAAATGATGTTGCTGAGAAGTTGTAAAAATATTAAACATCTGGATATTTTCGAATCCGAAATATATTCTAATTCTTTACCTTATCCATTCACAAAAAAAATATCTTCTTCTGGCATTGACAATACTAATAATATTGAAAATACCAATATCGAAAATACAAATAATATCGTCAATACAAATACGAATAATACAAATAACACAAATAATATAAATAATATTGATATCTATAAAATTTATAATATTAATAACATTTCACTCTCATTAAATTTGTCGAAATTGGATTTTTTGTTCTTTTCATCTAAAGATATTGAAACTACTAATAAATTTGTAATCAAACTTTCCAATCAATGTAGAAAAATTTTATATATGAACTTGTTAATTAGTGGAAAAATATTTCCTCCAGAATTACATGATTCTTTAACAAAATTAATTGATTCCCAAATAAAACTTGAAGAATTTGGATTACGTTTTCGTTATAGAAATCATCTTACACGACCCCACATTATAAATTTAGAATCACACGCCAACACTTTAAAAAAATTACAATTAATTGACATTGATTTCACGGGATTTTCATTTAATAATTTAAAAGTATTAAGAAATTTAGAAGTATTATCAATTCATTATTGTTTGGGTTTTTTTGAGGAGGAGAAAAGTTATCGATCATCCGAAAATATTTTTCCTAAATTACAAAAATTGGAATTAATTAAAAATCATAAAGCAATAGATCAAAAATTTATTTATATAAAATTAGATTCGTTAAAAACTTTAATATATATAAACAATCATGAAAACGAATTCATTAAAAGAGTTGTGACTATTATTAGTCATAATTGCACAAATCTAATTACATTATGTTGTTTAATAGTTGAAATCGAAATCACGTCAGAAATTAGTAAATTGCAACATCTTCAACAACTTCAATTGGGTGGTGAAACTTATTTCCCGGAAGATTTATTAATATTAGTAGAAAATTTACCGAAATCTTTAATAATTCTTAACTTATTAAATATTTATTCATATGATCATTTAAAATTTAACAATTTTATCAAAAAATGTAATGTTCACCTAGAGGTCTTAATATTACCGTTTGAAATTAAATTGAATCTTCTTATAGAATTAAAAAATTACATAAAGAAATTTAAATGTCTGAAAGATATAAAAATTACTAGAATCTACGAATCAGGTATTGACGATAAAGAGATGCTTGATTTATTTAATGAGGAAGGAATTAAATATACAACAAGAAATTTAAGAAGTGTTTTAGAATTAAAAGAGACATTTGAAAATTTTTTAAATTGAATTCTTATATAATTATAATTAAATTTTCTCATGCGCTACCTCCTAAAAAATAACAATTTACAATTCTTGTTCAAATATAAACAGAACCTTTACAATCTCCTAGTTTTCCTCTTTAAATTTTAAATCATTTAATGAACAAGATTATAAAATTTTAAAATACTAAAATCATTTAGGTTCTTGCTTATTCAATAATAAAATATATATCATTTTTAATGAATTTGAATTTTCCGTTAATTCAAATTCAAGGTATATTAACTGAGCTAAATAATTTATTATCTAGATAATTAATTTGTTCGCTACATATTTTAAATTCGATAAAATTTAATGGCATTAAGTGATTTAATCTCTTCAACTTTTCATTAGTCCACCAACCTGCGATATTTCTGATATATCCTATTACGCATATGTATTGATCCTAATACCGCTTCTGAAATTAATAAATACCATCCAACCTTTTTTTGAAACAAATTTCTTTTAAAATATAAAAAATATACCTTTTCACAAAAATTTAATAAGATTACTACATCCATATCTTTTTAAAAGTTATAATTTATATTGTTCTTTTTTTTTTTTTTTAATAAAAAAAAGGCCTGCAATTTGCAATGAATATTTTTACGTCCGTGATAAATTATTAATTATTTCTTCTGGTAGACTTCCTATATTAAATTTATTAATATATATTAAAGGACATAAAAAAATGCAATTATAACTTGCTATTTCATCAATTCTTGTGGTCTATTTTATATGTCTAAGAATAATCAATTAAAAATATTTAAAATTTGAAAGAACTTTGAATACATATTTTAAAATGATTAATATTCAATCTTTTTCGAAACTTGCGGCCTTTACACCATCTCATTTAATTATTAATTAAAAACCAATATCAATATGATCTCTTATAACCCTGATTTTCTAGATAATGAACAAAATAAATTTACTAATTAAAGTTTTAATACAGTTCTTTGGGTTAATTAAGAATCCATATCTTTTATATTAGATAACAAAAAATATGAATTTTTTTTTATTCTACGTTATAAAATATAAATATGAATACAACGCACTACCTCATCTACGAAAACCACTGCGTTCTTGCCACAGCAAGTAATGCTCGAACCTAATATCGTAATAATAAAAATAAGCATATAATCATTCAATATAAATATTCAATAAATGTTACAATAGATATATTTTATCATTTCTTCACCATAGCCAACTCATTTTGTTTAAATGTTGATAATAATAATAATTACCTCGCTTTACATTTACCAACTAATGTTTTTCCAATCCCTGGCCTAAAAAGTAATAAACCTAATTAATAAGAAAAAAAAAATTAGAATATCGAAGATTAATTCCACTTCCATGTTTCTTATCTTTACGTTTTAAATAACGGAGATATAAAATTTTTTTTTCTATAAAGTTGACTTGTTTATCCTGACACCTTTTTATAAGTTCCTTGTTTAATATATAGATTATTTAGAATATTGTCATATGCTGAAACTTCAAGAATCTTTGAACGATTTGATGCAGAATCAATAATAAGTAATGTGAAAGTAAAAAAAAAAGAAATTATAAAAATAATAATTTACGAATTAATGTTTTGCAGTAACAAAGGAGCCGGGCTTGTCTGTCTGTTCGTCGTGTCATTATAAATTACATTCATTGGATCTTTTTTACAACGTTATTATAAGCGCCCTATTATCTATGCCAAAGAAATTTTTGAAGTTTTGAATTTTTTGAATAATTATAATATAAAAATATAATATTATTAGTAGTTAATTAATATTAGTGAATTTGTCGTATCTTGTTTATTTAGTTCGATAGAGCTGATCTCTTTATTATTATTATTATTATTATTATGAAGGTTCATTATTTGTTATTTGTCGGTAACGAATTCCGTCAACATTACATCTCCCAAGAAATATAAATTATAATTATAATCAAATTCTTTCATATTATCGCTTATACCTTCAATTCTTTTTTCCATTTTTCTGTGCATTCTTTATGAGTTTTTTTATATATTTTTCTCTAAACAAAGTCACATCATTCCCATCATTTCCATTGTCCACCTTCTTCTTTAGATCCAACTCCACATTGATCGTATCTTTATTCATAAGATGTTCTGTGTCAAAAATTAGAATGTTTCATTGACTAATGCCATTAAAGCTTTACGATAATTTATAGCTACATATCTCATATTTGTTGTTGTTGCTCAGGTGAAGAAACCGAAGAGTTTAAAGTAAATAACGTGTCTTAGAAAGATATTGAAATAAAACTTTTTTCGATCTTTTTGTTATTGATCCATAAATTTTAAATAAATTTTAAGATATAAAAATATGTGAAAGAGAAATTATTAAACATATCACAAAGCTTCATTTAAATTTATCAATGTGATAAATACTGATTTTAATGTCACGCGTATTTTTAACTATTAATACTACTCTATTTCTCTCACAATAATTCGATGTTTTAAAAATTATTCTGTTTATAATAAGTGAATCTAATGAATTCGACTTATATATAATACAAATATCAAGTCTGAATTGTTTTTCACGTTTTTCATGTGATCAATGATTTATAACGATGAAGGATGTAAACATATTCAAATCTTATAAAAAAAATTGTTTAAACTTTTTGTTCCACTTTATCAAATCTTTTGCTTTAACAATTCAATTATCTTCGCTTTTAACATTCACTCTTTTTTTTTTTTGTAATTTCTTGCATTAACCAAGATGCCTAAATCGAAGGAACAGAGAATTAAACCTCATTTTAATTATATCAAACCTGAAACTCGATCTCAAACTAAAAAAAAACAACAACTTTATGAACAAATGAAAATACAGCAACAACTTTGTCATCAAATTGAACAACAACGTTATCAACAAAATCTACTTTATCAACAAAATTTACTTTATCAACAAAATCAACAAAATCAACAAACACTACTTTATCAATATCAGCAACAACAACAATTATTCTATCAACAAAATCAAAATCAACAACAATTATTTTATCATCAAAGTCAGCAACAACAACAGCATAATCAAAATCGACATAAAAAACAACTTCCACCTCGCCCTTTCAGTTCTTACACTGATGATGAAATCTTACTTAAAGTGATTCTCAACTTTTATGAAGATGACATGACTTCAATTAAAAAAATTATTCCTTGGTTAAATGAAAATGAATTAAATGATTTGATCAACGACATTCAACCACGAGACATTTCCGAATTAAAATTTCCACCACATCCAAATATAAATTCGATACCACCAGATGATAAAACTCCAGAATATAAAGATTATTTATTAAAAGCACAATGGAGTTTAAAAGAAATAAAAATCTATAAAGGAATGACGGATAATGGAAAAAAAGGATTAAAAAATTGGAGAAAGTTGAAACAAATGTTATATCAAAAAGATTTAGGAGATATTGTTAAACATTTTGGAACCTTGGATAAAATGAAAGATTAAAAAAAAAATGTCATTATATTATATTATTATATTATTCAAGAGATTATTTTTTTATACACTTTGATATCATTCTTATATCATATTTCTTATCTTATTATCAAATTGTGAAATTTTCATTTGTGAAGATTGAAGATTGTCACGTGATGTGAGAAGATTCTTCGTTAAAAATTCAAAAAAAAAAAAATAATTAATGAAAAAAGTACAAAACAACTTTTTAATAAAATAATAAATTTCCATGTGGGTTAGCTTTGTGTATCTAATCTGAATTAAAGTGTACACATGTCTAAATGTAAAAAGTATTTCCCGGGAATTTTTCTTCGGATTTAAAAAAAAAAAAAATGTATATCCGATTTTATTACTCTAAATGTCATTAAAGAAATTCTCTACTTGGTAAAATATAAAAGTGATTTTCCGTAGTTATCAAACAACAAATGTATCATCATCGTAACGTAACCCAGATCCGTGATAAAAATGTTTTCAAATCTATTCTAAGAATGAACTTCATTGATTTAGGTAAATTTGGACGAGAAAGACGTAACAGTCCTTTTACTCTTTATTTCCTCATTATTCTAATCATTTTCGGATATTAAATTATAGTCTAGCCATTATTTATTGTCAATAATAAATAATGATAAGTAAATAATAAATAATGATAAGTAAATAGTAAATAATGATAATTATTAAATAATAATAATAAGTAAACAGAATGTAAATCTTATTTTTTTTTATTTCGTTCTTTTTTTTTTTTTTTTAACGCGTATATACAAGAAATAATTTTCAGCCCCAAATATATTTTTTATATCTCTGCCACATTTTCATGATTATTGATTAAGTAAAAGTTCGGCGTTTCTTTCTGGGAGATGTTATTAGATATTTTTGAAATTGGGAAACTGGTTTATTTAATCGATAAAATACAAAAACAGATAATTATAAATGATATTGACTACACAGCCTTCTTCATTTAGGGAATGCAAGGTGATTTTTGTATGAATGAATGAACGAATGAAAAAAAAAGAATAAGAGAATAAAAAAAATAATAAAACTAACATTCAAAATAGTTAGATGAATAATTTTATCGATATATTTATTACTGGAACCAATCAAGTGTTAATAATAATAATTTAAACTTTAGTTACTTTAAAACTGTAAACATTATTATTATTAAAAATACACCATAAAAGGTTGACTGAAAAAAGCAATAAATACAATAGATAAAAGAATTTTAAAATTTCGAAGTGACACAAAGATATTATTGTAAAATAAGATCAAAAGAATATTTTGCGTGGCTGCTGCATGGAATCTCACAACATATTAAACTTTGACTTGATAACAACAACAACAACACCAACAACAACAACAAAAACAACAAAAATAACAAAACAAACCATAAAAAAAAATTTCCAACAACAATAGAAAGTTCACAATAGACGAGTTACAGTATTTTTTAAAAAAACAAGTTATTTTCATGCATTTCATGTCGTTATAAATTACAATTATTATTATTTATTGTTATTTTTTTTATTATTTGTTTTTTATATTATTTATTTATTATACGTAATTTTCATATATTTTATTATTATTATGTATTTACTTACAATCCATTTTATAAACAGGTTTAATGAGTTTAAACTTTAAAAGATTTAACC